ACGCCCTGCGTGCTGAGGGGCCGCGCCGTGTGCGCGTGCCCCCAGGAGACGCCCTGCGTGCTGAGGGGCCGCGCCGTGTGCGCGTGCCCCCAGGAGACGCCCTGAGTGCTGAGGGGCCATGTCCATGTGCACGTGCTGAGGGGGCCGCGTCTATGGCACGTGCTGAGGGGGCCGTGTCCGTGTGCGCGTGCCCCCAGGAGAAGCCCTGCGTGCTGAGGGGCCATGTCCATGTGCGCGTGCTGAGGGGACCACGTCCATGTGCGCGTGCTGAGGGGGCCGCGTCTATGGCACGTGCTGAGGGGGCCGTGTCCGTGTGCGCGTGGTGAGGGGGCCGCATCTATGGCACGTGCTGAGGGGGCCGCGTCTGTGTGCACGTGCAGAAGGGGCTGCGTCTATGGCGCGTGCTGAGGGGCCATGTCCGTGTGCGCGTGCTGAGGGGGCCGCGTCTGTGTGCGCGTGCCCCCAGGAGACGCCCTGCGTGCTGAGGGGCCGCGCCGTGTGCGCGTGCCCCCAGGAGACGCCCTGCGTGCTGAGGGGCCGCGCATGCCCCCAGGAGACGCCCTGCGTGCTGAGGGGCAGTGTCCATGTGTGCGTGCTGAGGGGGCCGCATCTATGGCACGTGCTGAGGGGGCCTGCGTCCGTGTGTGCGTGCTGAAGGGGCTGCATCTATGGCGCGTGCTGAGGGGTCATGTCCGTGTGCGCGTGCTGAAGGGGCCGCGTCTATGGCGTGTGCTGAGGGGCTGTGCATGTCCCCAGGAGACGCCCTGCGTGCTGAGGGGCCGCGTCCGTGTGCGCGTGCTAGGGGGCCGTGTCCGTGTGCACGTGCCCCCAGGAGAAGCCCTGCATGCTGAGGGGCCGCGTCTATGTGCGCACGCTAGGGGGCCACGTCCGTGTGCGCGTGCCCCCAGGAGACGCCCTGCGTGCTGAGGGGGCCTCGTCCGTGTGCGCGTGCCGAAGGGGCTGCGTCTATGGCGCGTGCTGAGGGGCCATGTCCGTGTGCGCGTGCTGAGGGGGCCACGTCCGTGTGCACGTGCCCCCAGGAGACGCCCTGTGTGCTGAGGGGCCGCGTCTATGTGTGCGTGCTAGGGGGCCACGTCCGTGTGCACGTGCCCCCAGGAGACGCCCTGTGTGCTGAGGGGCCGCGTCTATGTGCGCATGCTAGGGGGCCGTGTCCGTGTGCACGTGCCCCCAGGAGACGCCCTGTGTGCTGAGGGGCCGCGTCTATGTGCGCGTGCTAGGGGGCCACGTCCGTGTGCACGTGCCCCCAGGAGACGCCCTGTGTGCTGAGGGGCCGCGTCTATGTGTGCATGCTAGGGGGCCACGTCCGTGTGCACGTGCCCCCAGGAGACGCCCTGTGTGCTGAGGGGCCGCGTCTATGTGCGCGTGCTAGGGGGCCGTGTCCGTGTGCACGTGCCCCCAGGAGAAGCCCTGCGTGCTGAGGGGCCGCGTCTATGTGCACACGCTAGGGGGCCACGTCCGTGTGCGCGTGCCCCCAGGAGACGCCCTGCGTGCTGAGGGGGCCTCGTCCGTGTGCGCGTGCCGAAGGGGCTGCGTCTATGGCGCGTGCTGAGGGGCCATGTCCGTGTGCGCGTGCTGAGGGGGCCACGTCCGTGTGCACGTGCCCCCAGGAGACGCCCTGTGTGCTGAGGGGCCGCGTCTATGTGTGCGTGCTAGGGGGCCACGTCCGTGTGCACGTGCCCCCAGGAGACGCCCTGTGTGCTGAGGGGCCGCGTCTATGTGCGCATGCTAGGGGGCCGTGTCCGTGTGCACGTGCCCCCAGGAGACGCCCTGTGTGCTGAGGGGCCGCGTCTATGTGCGCGTGCTAGGGGGCCACGTCCGTGTGCACGTGCCCCCAGGAGACGCCCTGTGTGCTGAGGGGCCGCGTCTATGTGTGCATGCTAGGGGGCCACGTCCGTGTGCACGTGCCCCCAGGAGACGCCCTGTGTGCTGAGGGGCCGCGTCTATGTGCGCGTGCTAGGGGGCCGTGTCCGTGTGCACGTGCCCCCAGGAGAAGCCCTGCGTGCTGAGGGGCCGCGTCTATGTGCACACGCTAGGGGGCCACGTCCGTGTGCGCGTGCCCCCAGGAGACGCCCTGCGTGCTGAGGGGGCCTCGTCCGTGTGCGCGTGCCGAAGGGGCTGCGTCTATGGCACGTGCTGAGGGGCCATGTCCGTGTGCGCGTGCTGAGGGGGCCGCGTCCGTGTGCGCGTGCCCCCAGGAGACGCCCTGTGTGCTGAGGGGCCGCGTCTATGTGCGCGTGCTAGGGGGCCGTGTCCGTGTGCGCGTGCCCCCAGGAGACGCCCTGCGTGCTGAGGGGCCATGTCCGTGTGCACGTGCCCCAGGAGACGCCCTGCGTGCTGAGGGGGCCGCGTCCGGCCACGTCCATGTGCGCGTGCCCCCAGGAGACACCCCGCACGCGCTGAGTCTCACCACACCTGGAAGGCCCAGATGATGTGATGGGAGGGCTGGCTTGAGCGCAGCAGCTCTTTAGCCGCAGCCCTCGCAGAACTCACAGGAACAGGGCACTGGAGACAGGCACCTCTTCCCTGCGAAAGCTGAATGAACTTAAAATCGTTTGCAGTTTGCTTCCAAAGACCCTCTTCAGTGCTGAAGGTTGGACGCTCACCGCCTTTTGTGGGAGAGCAGAGAGCCAGCATTCGAGAGGAGTGGTGGACTTGGTTAGAAAACCAAGATTAGGGGCCTCTCAAATAAATAAATAAACCTTTAAAAAAAAAACCCTCAATACAAAAGACACAAAATGCAGTGTGGTTGTGTAGTGGGACCTGGAGCACAGCACACGAGTGTAAACCAATCGAACCCTTAGCTGAGTGCCAGGCTGCCTGCCTTTCCACTTTTGGGAGCGATCCTTTGAGGGCCTGAATCCTGTCAGCGTTTCAGATTACGTCCTCAGCATAGATTCCAAACAGCTATTAGTCACTGAGTCCCCGGTCTGAGCTCAGTCAGAGCCCAGACCATGCAGCTGAGGAAGGGTGCTCTGGGTCTTTGGCGTTAAGCCTGGTTTGTCCAAGTTGTCCGTGATGTCAGACACACGCAGATGACCAAGAGTCCATGACGTGTCCCAGGGGGAGCTGTGTGGGATTTGGCCCTGGCTCTGTGTTAGCCAAACGCCTCAGGAACAGTGTCTGTGTGTAAACCTTGTGGAAGAAGAAGCTTGGACATCACTTATTTCATCAATTCTCTTCAATCCCTGCTTGGTCCAAGTGAGTATGAAAAGCTGACAGAACACAGCTGCCACCCCTCCACTGAACATCGCTGGCAATGTCTGGGGTGTGAGACGAGGGCACGGTCTCTGGAGAAGACTAGACAAGGACCAGAAGAGCCAGCCCCACTCCAAGAGTCCCAGTGGACAGCAACAGCAGACAGCACCACTGTCATCCCCTCATTCTCTGCAGGTATTTATGGAGCTGCTGAAGGCTGGGCTTGTTCCTGCAATTTTTTGACATAACAGGGTAAAATAAATTAATAATCTTGATGTAATTCCTCTGAATAGGACATACAGCTTTTACTAGAAACTTATTTATCTGAAAGGCAAAGTGGCAGAAAGAGAGAGAGAGACAGAGGTCTTCTGTCTGCTGATTCATTCCATAAATGGCTACAAAAACCAGGTCTGGGCTAGGCTGAAGCCAGGAACCAGGAGCTCCATTCACCCTTCCCACATGGTTGGCAGGGACCTAAGACTTGGGTCATTATCTGCTTCTCCTCAGGTGCAGATGGGTCCTGAATTGGAGCACCCAGGACTCAAGTGGGCCTTCTGATATGGAATACTATAATTACAAACAATAGCTTAACCAGCTGTACCACAATGCCAGCGTCAGCATATAGCTTTTTTTTTTTTTTTAAGATTTTATTTATTTATTTGAGAGTTACAGGCAGAGAGAGGGAGAGACAGAAAGAGAGGTCTTCCAACCACTGGTTCACTCCCCAAATGGCCACAACAGCCAGAGCTGGACCAATCTGAAGCCAGGAGCCAGGAGCATCTTCTGGGTCTTCTACGCAGGTGCAGGCACCCAAGCACCTGGGCCATCCTCCACTGCTCTCCCAGACCACAGCAGAGAGCTGAATGAGAAGCGGAGCCGCCGGGACACAAACTGGCACCTACATAGGGTGCCAGTGCCACAGATGGAGACTTAGCCCACTATGCCACAGTGCCAGCCCCAACATATAGTCTTTTTCAGCCAACAAATCTTAGTTAGCCTTATGCCTTAAAGTGCTGGCTGTATCTACTGTGCATCCTGTGTGTATATATCATCCGAAAGTTGAAACTTGTGAAAAATGATGTATTAAAAGATTCATTTGTGCAAAAACTCACACAACTTTTAATTTTCAGCTCATCAGCAATTTTACATCCCGCAAAGTCTCCCACCAAACTTGAGGACAGCAAGGCCATGGCTGCCGCAGTGCACCCAAGGAGGCTGTGCCGTGCGGCCGCGTGTGCCGGAGGGGCCCGCGTTTTGCTTTCCTTACGTCTTATTGCTCCCAAGTCTTCTACTGTTTTAGCTTGGCTGATCTCACAGACTGACAGGCACTAATGCTAATATGCAGAGCGTGGCTCCTCGAGAAGTGCTGCTTCCTATTCTGCACGTGTGCAGAGCTGGACTAGGCCCTGTCCACTACTCAAGGGGCGGATACCGCGCGGTTAGGAAGACGGGAATTCTGAAATGAAAGTGACAGTGCTGTTTTGTCCTTAACCAGTTCCTCTAATCATGCTGTCTCCAAAATTACACATCTGGTTTAGACAAAAAAGAAATGACTCAACAGCTGCCTTGGCATGGTTTTCACTTCGTTCCGTCTCAGGAAAGGCCCCTCCCAACCTAGATAAAAGCAGTGCAGAGAGGCAGGGCTTAACATCCTTGGACTGAACCCTAGCAATCTGCCACATGAGCTGCCAACAGAAGTGTTTTGGAATTGTCCAAATGCTTAGCAAGGATTCAAAGACGGGGGAGGGTCAGGGAAGGCAGGAACAGACTGGGGCCAGGGTTGGGGGGAGGGGAAGCTCCCTGAGGAGGAAGCTGTGCCCATCCCTGGGGAGCTGGGGGCGGCCAGCAAAGTGGCCACACTGAGCTTGCAAGATCTCTGATCTCTGAGGCAGGCCAGCCAGCTCTGTTCCCTTCCTGTGCTGCCCTCTGGCTGCCTCTTTCCCCTCAGCCTGGCTGCCATGGTGACTGTGACGTGGCCAGCAAACAGTCCTGGGCCAGTCTCTCCGGAAGCAGCAGGACAGTTTCCTGACTCAAGATGTACAGGGCCCCCCGGCCTCTGCTCCCCTACGCCGGGGAGCACCTACAGCGCTCATGGGACAAAGCCTATCAGGACCACAGGAGAAAGGTAGGGAGGGCCCTGCAGCCACAGGGCACAGCCATGAGACTGTGTGCAGAGCTGGGCACAGGGGGCCAGGTCCCCTTTCTTAGGAGGGACACCTCATGGTCGTCATGTGGCTCCATTCCCCCCCCCACACCACTCCTGGCACAGTTCTGAGACTCTGGCACTCTCCGGGGAGCTCAGAGGCAGCTGCAGAGCTGGGCACAGGGGGCCAGGTGCCCCTTTCTTAGGAGGGACATCTCATGGTCGTCATGTGGCTCCATTCCCCCCACACTGCTCCTGGCTGCTCTTTCACAACCTGTGCCAGTCACAGCAAACGTTGGCAGAGCACCAGACTTTGCCTAAATGAGTCTGAAGGAGCCCTCCCCCATCAATCAGCACCCTTCAGAGGGGACCACAGGCCCAGCCTGTCCTCCAGGAGATGCACTGTTAGCATTTTCCACTCAACTCATGTGGGCCTGAGCCTCCCTGGAGTCACCAGCCAGCAGCCCTAGCTCACTGGGCGAGTGCCTGCGTGGGTCAGGGTCGGAGGTGGCCCCAGAGAAGTTTGGGCTCTGGTTCTGGAGACAAGTGTGGCCCTGTGGTGATTTTTTTTTAAAGATTTACTTCTTTATTTGAAAGATTTTACTTCTTTATTCTTTATTATTTTATTACTTCTTTATTTTATTATATTTATTTATTTATTTACCTCTTTATTATTATTTATTCTTTACTTCTTTATTTAAAAGATTTACTTCTTTATTTGAAAGGTTAGAGGGGTGGAGAGAGGAGAGAGAAAGAAAGATCTTCCATCCGGTGGTTCACTCCCCAACTGGCCACAATGTCCGAGGCTGGGCCAAGCCAAAGCCAGGAGCCAGGAGCTTCTTCCAGGTCTCCCATGCGGGTGCAAGGACCCAAGTGCTTGAGCCATCTCCACTGCTTTCCCAGGGGCATCAGCAGGGGGCTGGAGCGGAAGAGGAGCAGCTGGGCCTTGAAGCAGTGCTCCTAGGGGGTGCCAGTGTCGCTGTCTGTGGCTTAACCCTCTGCACCGCAGCAGCAGCCACGAGAGGGACACACGCTTCATTTGTGTCTTGTTTGTATGCTCACCTCTGTGCTGCTGGCCCCAGCTAGTTCACGGCGAGGTTCTCAGTGCTGGAGTATACAGCAAGCAGCTAGTGAAAGTCGCTGGCAGTGAGCGTTACTTCTCTGAAAACTGTGCGAGATTGTACAGCCATGGGTGGTCTGTTGTTCATTTTTGTGTCCCGAGGAGGGTTGTCAAGAAATATCCCCAACTTGAGGGAGAAGCCAGGCTCTGTTCCTGAGAACCTGTGTGATAAAGAAGGCTGGAGGTGCTGCCGAGGGCTGGTCAGCGGCATTCAGTGAGGCTGACTCAGCTGAAGCGCAGGTGTGCTGGGGACGTGGACCCACACAGCACTGCCCCACAGCTCTGCCCCTTCCCACGGGTCCATGGCTGTGGGACAGGGAAGGGCGTCGCTGGTCATTGCATGAGGCTCGCAGCTGATGGCAGAAGGTGTGGACTGAGGACTCCCTCGAGCAGGCAGGAAGGTGCTGAGGGAGGGACTGCACATGGCACCCAGGAGGAAGCATGGTGAGGACAGGGCCAGTCAAGTCTTGAAGTGCAAGGAGCCAGCACCGGGCTGCCACAGCTGGCAGGGAGGCTGGGAAGGAGGAGGGGTGTGGGGAAGGCGGGAGCCCCAGGTGCAGCCCAGGGGCGTCACCGCTGCCCCGTCTCCCAGATCTGCTGAGGGAGGTCAGAGAATGGAGTGTGTGAGGAGCTGACCGGTCTGTCCCATGGACATAGAACTCATTTAGGACAAAGAAATGCAGGAGGAGTGTGTTCATGGCCCAGTCCCAAAGGATGTCCTGGGGGTGGAGAAGTGTGGGTGTCAGCAGAAGGGGAGGGGGCCACAGGGCTGGGAGCTGCAGGAAGAGCCAGCCAGACCCTCACCAATGCCACCTGCCAGCACTGGGAGTCAATGGGAACATAGTCTCCCCCTCCAGGGAGGGGGTCAGCCCTCGGAGTCACTCAGCTTCTTAACTGCTCTGTGGAGAATCCCTGGGTACAGCAGGAATTTTGATGTCATACAGAGGAAAAAGGATGCATAGGAGAACATGGTGCCCTCACAGCCCTAATGGCTCCTCAAAGCCAGCTCCAGAATCCAGTGCCTTATCTCTGCCTGGCATCTCAACAGGGATGACCCCAGGACCTGAGCAGGCCCTAACCCCAACCCTGATCCCTGACCCTGACTCTGACCTTAACCCTTATTCTCATCTATCAGACTGACAAAAATATCAGAAGCAGTCTGAGGAAAGAGGCAGTGTCGTTGAGACCGATGGGCAGGCGTGTGGGCCACATGCCTCTCACAGGGGCTCACACCCACTCTCCCTTAACCCCCAACCGCAATTCCAGAGGCACACAGCAAAGATGCAAGAAGACGTGGCCAGATGTATTGACTAGAGCATATTTTAGTAACAGACAATAGAAAATAGCAGGAGATGTGATACGGCCTTAACAGCTAAAGAACTATCACTGTTTTATGGTGTGGCTCTTATACTGAAATTACGTTTTTCAAAGTTTCTCTTCTTTGGAACACGTGTTAAAGTATTTGCGGATGAAAGGCTGTGGTTCCAGCTCTCAGGTGAGGGAGAGGCTGCAAGAGGGATGCAGGTGAAGCCAGGCTGGTCCCAGGCAGGTTTTACCGAGCCAGCAAGCCCTGTATGGGCTCACTTCCTCTATTTTTATTCTTGTTTGCAATTTTAGACAATAGTTAGAAAACAAATTTAACTGAAAAAGGAAGAAGAATCGTAACTGTAGTTAGATACGTAATTTTTCATAAATTTATTTAATAAATTCAATTTTTCATAAATTTAAAACCACAAAATGATAGGCTGCTTACAGGAACAAGTATGGAAATGGGGAGGGAAGCGTAGGGGCTGCCTGGGCAGGTGGAGAGCAGGGAGAGGACGCCCTTCTCCCCTGCAGGACTGGAGCAGGGCGGTAGGGCCTTGAATGACAGGTCTTTCTCGAACACTGATTGGATGTCACCGCCCACGGGGTCAGCGCAGACTTCTTCAGGGGCCACACCCCACACCTGCCCACAGCCTTCACCAGGCTGCAAACAGGAAGCAGGGGGTGGGGACGGGCTTTCTTCCTCCTTCCTCTCCTTCCCTCCTCGCCCCTCCAAGAGGCCCAGTTCCAGCGGATTCCATCTCTCTCTGGTGGCCACCCTAGGGCCTGGGATGGCACAGTGGCCATGGCACTCCATCCCCACATTGCATGGAGACAGAGTCTCTGAGGACATCTGACCACGCCACTCTTCTGCTGCTGTTTCCCAGTGGTGCCCTGCCCCGTGGGGCTCTGTCAAACACCCCACCCCGCGTCCTCTGCCTTCTGCAGCCTCAGAGTCCTCCGACTGTGGCCATGCTGCCAGCCCCGTGCTTGGCTGTCCTTGTAGGCTCTCAGTTTATTCTCCAGCTAGTGGAGCTTCCCAAACTGTCACCACCTCATCAGCTGATGTCCCCAGCAGCCAGCGTGCAGAGTGCACAACAAACAGAATGGAATGGCCCTCGCGCGATGAATCGGCTACGTTTAAGAACAACTGTCCCTGTAATGCTGATGTTTTCTGAGATGGTGCTCTGCCAGGACAGACATGCAGCTCACTGAGAGCACCACCAGTAGGCTCGGCAGCATCACAGGGCCGGGGCGTCGTGTAAAAGACCTCTGGGCAGCACAGGGCAGGACGCAAGGTCGGCAGGATGCAAGGTCGTCTGGCAGTCAGCACGTGACGAGCCGTGCCCTGTGCCTACTTTACTTTCTACTCTGAGGCCTGCCTGCTTCTTGCCAGGGGGTTCAGACTTGGAATCAAATCATGACCCCACTGGGAACCTCCTGCCATCAGCAGATTCGGAATCTCTGGTGCCTTGGATAACAGTCTGTAAGTGTTCCTGGTGCTGGGAACCCGAGCTGCTCTGCCCCTGAGGTCACTATCCACTCTGTGCCACAGGTGCAGAACGCCCAGCCGCTGGTGGACACTCGGGCCCCGCCGACTTTCTGCCACCTGCAGCTGAAGGTCAAGAGGCTGAAGGTAGGTGTGCAGCGCCCTCCCTCAGTTAAGCGGACGGCCACCTGGGAAGATCTGCCCAAGCGCCCAGGGAAGTGGCAGCGGCAGGCGTGGTGAGGGGTATGGGTCACTCAGCAGTTAGTGCAGGGCAGGCAGCCAGTGAGCCCTGTCTTGGCCTGATGGAATTAGTGGGTGGCCTGAAGCTTTCTGGTCTTTGTGCTGACCTGTCAGGTTTCAGACTTGGTACTGGTGATTCACGGTGGCCAGTTATACAGTGCAGCTCTGAGATATTACTCAGCATCCTTCCTTTAAACTGGACTCCCTTAGAATGATTGTTTCTTAAAGGTCAGGCCATCTAGTGAGAGCAAGAACTGTGTGGTCACGCTTGTAGCAATGCCCATCAGGCAGAGCGCCCTGCGTTTCATGCACCTGTTGGGCAAGGGAGGAGCGCTTGGCTGAGCACAACCAGCCCTAAGCAACTGCGGGTTAGGTGTTTTAAAACCTAAATCTTCTGAGCAGTATAAGAATCTCTTTCACAATCTGAAATTATTTCATTAGCATCACAGCCATGTGTCCATTTCAGAGGGGCCCTAATTCTACATGGTAGCTTCTCTCCTCACTGTCACCTTGCTACTCTACTGCTCCAAGTCCATAGAATCCCACTGCAGCCTGTGTTCCAATACTAAACAAGAGGTCAAGGTCGCTCCTGCCACAGCCATTGCTGAGCAGTGCTACGGTGCCCTCGCTGATGGCTGGTGAGGCAAAGCAAAATCCAGGGGTCTCCAGTCACAGAAAGTGGGGGCAGAAGGGAGCCCCGTCCCAGATCTGTGCACAGTCATGGCCAGGGCTGCTCCAGGCCCCTCCTCCACCCACAGCTGGAAGAGGAGCGGCTCTCCACCATCGACAGGAACAACCGCCTGCTCCTGGAGAGGGTGGCCCACATCCTGAAGACAAGGGGGCAGCCTGGCAGCAGATATGACTCCACTGACACAAGGTAACAGAGGGGCCCCCACCACCCACCCTGGTCAGCAGCAAACCCAAGGCCTGGGCTCTGGGGCGGGGCTCAGCTATCGCTGTGCATCGGAGAAGCACCTTCCCCCGTCAGCCCCTGAATCCAGGTCTTAGCTGAGACATGCGAGCCATTTTCCCCACCTGCAGCAAAAAAGACAGAGTAACTGCTAATGCGACTGGCACCAGGACTATTCCAGGCCTGCTAATTGTTTAACTCTGAGTCCTCACGTGACCCAGTGAGGCAGAGACTACTGAGCATGTCGTGTCAGATGGGGAAACCGAGGCACGGTGGGGCAGCAGCTGGAAAGAAGGCACCACGCCCGAGTTCTAGGCTGGGCCTACAGCCTGTCAGCCAGGGCAGCTTCCAAAAGCAGCAGTGGTTTTGTATCTCCATGAGTAGACCGTGTACTCCTGGCTGCCTGTGAACTGTGGACACCCTGCTGGCCACCAGGCCTGCTCTTCGGTGGTCCCAAAGTGTGGTTCCCCTGCTGTGAGGTGCAGCCCCTGAGACCACCACGTGGCTGCTGAGGTATGAGCCCTGAGCCTCTTCTCTAGTGAGAGCCCTCGGCCCGCCCCCCCCCCCCCCCCCCCCGCAGATCCCAGAACTCTAGCTATAGGCACGCCATGGTCCTCCCCACGGCGTAGGGGGTTGCGGTGCCTGAGACAAGCTCAATGAGAGCGGTCTTTCCTGAAGCGCTCGAACCTTTTAAAACCTTGAGAAGCACCTGGCAGCTCCCAGGTTTCACCGTAAATTAACACTTGCACCTCGGGCACCCCGAGGCCAGGGCCCACGAGAAGCTGCTCAGAGCACACCCTTGCGAGTTGGTCTGGCTGGGTGCCTGGTCAGAGCACATGTCTTCTGCCCTTCAGAGATGGTCCACTTGGGCCAGAGGCAGGGTAGGGGCTGGGCTGTCAGGAGTGAGCTCCCTGTGACTCCTGGCTGCACCCACCCTCAGCCCTGGTAAGCGATGGGAGACCTGGAGTCACCATCAGCTTGCAGGCATTTTTTTAAGATTTATTTTAAAGACAGAGTTACAGAGAGAGGTAGAGACAGAGAGAGGTCTTCCATCCATTGGTTCACTCCCCAGATGGCCACAATGGCTGGAGCTGCGCCAATCTGAAGCCAGGAACCAGGAGCTTATTTTGGGTCTCCCATGCAGGTGCAGTAGCCCAAGGACTTGGGCCATCTTTTACTGCTACCCCAGGCCATAGCAGAGAGCTGGATCGGAAGAGGTGCAGCCGGGATTAGAACCGGCACCCATATGGGATGCCGGTGCTTCAGGGCAGGGCTTTAACCCGCTGCGCCACAGCACAGGCCCTGCAGACAGACGTTTTGACCTGAGCACAAATCAAGTGGCTGGGACAGCAGCTCATCCACAGGTCACGCTGCCCAGGAGCAGCCCCCACGGGTGTGCTTCTCAGCCTGCTGCCTGCAAGGTGAGGCTGCTAGGGCACCTGCTTGGGAGTGGCTGGATAGAGGACTGAGCTGGGGAGGTGCTGGCCTGTCAGCTGGGAAGTGTGCTGTGATGAACTACGGCAGTGACCAGTATCCAGACCACAGTGAGCCCAGCTTCATGTGTGGTGCTGCCAGGGATACTGGAGCCGGTGACGCCCAGCAGCCCTAAGCTGAGTGCATCTCCATGGAAACATCAGCAGTGTTTGTCGGGAACCATGGCTTTGGTGCCTGGTACCTGGCTGTTTCGTCTGGTTGACACCTGCCAGGAAACATCAGCAGTGTTTGTCGGGAACCATGGCTTTGGTGCCTGGTACCTGGCTGTTTCGTCTGGTTGACACCTGCCAGGAAACATCAGCAGTGTTTGTCGGGAACCATGGCTTTGGTGCCTGGTACCTGGCTGTTTCGTCTGGTTGACACCTGCCAGGAAACATCAGCAGTGTTTGTCAGGAACACATCGCTTTGGTGCCTAGTACCTGGCTGTTTCGTCTGGTTGACACCTGCCAAATTAACATGAGGCGCCAAAGAGAAGCAGTCCCTCTACAGGGAAGCCCAGCGAACTAACTGGCTCAGATGTACACATACGCAGCAGGCCAGTTGGTCAACAGCAGAAGTCAGCGCCTTGAGAGAAACTGTACAGCCAGCAATGAGATGCTCACTCCTGATTCAGATTTAGTCGGCGTGTGATAAGCACATAGGCTTAAAGTGTGCAGTCTGAGTTCCCCAATGTTACACCTGTGACACTGTCTCCACAACAGGACACAAACACTCCTGGTGCCGGCCAGGAGCCTGTCTGCTGTCCCTGTGTGTGAACTGCTCTTCCTGTCTGCAGCATCCTGGTCCGTGTGCAGATCGGCCTTCTTCCTGCTGGGTAGTGCTGTGTTGTGTGACCCGCAGTTGGTGAATCCATTTGCCTGGGGAAGAGCATTTTATTACAAGTAAAATCATGTGTAAAATGATCATTCAAGTTTAAAAAAAAAAAAAAACAGAGACTAACAGTGCTCTCAGCACAAGACTGACACCTGTGCTGAACGAATCTCAGTTGAGTCAGCCGGAGCCGGGGCCTCCAGCGCGCTGCCTGGGAGTTCCAAGATCTCTCCCCAGAGACACTGGTGAGCAGCCTCTAAAAACAACGCTTTGAGGTCTCTGAATGTGGTCCTGAGGACACAGCCTATGGAAACCCACCATAGCTTGTCAAGAACAGCAGCACCCCCAGACTCTGAACTGAAGCCTGCCCCTCCCTCCCTGTCCCCAGCTCAGGAAGCAGGTGCCACTGCAGGGGCTGAGCCGAGAATGAGAACGCAGGCTCCATCTCATCCAGCAACCAGGCGGTGGTTCTCTTCCTGGGGGCAGGACTTCAGCACCTCTTGTCCCAGGCGTGTGGGAGACACCTGTGTTCTGCTCGGCCCACATCCCTGGAGAGGAGGCCCTAATCTGGGTCCTGCCACGGGTTTGCTAGGGGTACTGGAGCCCCGACCCCCGAGGCAGGGGGCCCACACTGGGAGGACCTATGGTCCCCACACCATGGAGTGCGGAGCTGGGGTATCCCTCAGGGGAGGTTGCCCCTGTCCTATGCCCAACTCCAGGGCACTGAGATGCCACCCGAGAGGAGGCAGACTGGGAACACCGTGGCCCCTAATCCTTCAGGGCTGCTCCGCTTGCAGCAGCGTGTGAAGAAGAGCAAGGCTGCCTGGACATGAAGACAAACAACATGGACACCAAGAAGGAAGGAATCAAACTGTTCACAAATAAGTGAGTTTGCATTCGCTAAAAATGAATACACAAATTCAACAGGTTGCAGAATACAAGACCACAAACACACAAATCCATTGTATTTTTATACATTTGCAACAAACAATCAGAAAATGAAACTAAGAAAATAATTCCATTCACAAAAGTATCACAAAGAATAAATATTGGGGCTGGCATTGTGGCACAGCGGGTTAAGCTGCTGCCTTGAGGAGATCATCCCATATGGGTTCTGGTTCGAGTCCCAGCTGCTCCCATCCAGCTCCTTGCTATAGAAAAGCAGTAGAAGATGGCCCAAGTGCCTGGGTCCCTGCACCCTTGTGGGAGACCTGGAAGAGGCTCCTGGCTCCTAGCTTTGGATCCAGCCCAGCTCCAGCTGTTACAGCCATCTGGGGAGTAAACTAGAAGATGGAAGATCTGTTTGTCTATCTCTCCTCTCTCTGTCACTCTGATTTTCAGATAAATAAAATATTGAAAAAAAAAAAAAAAAAAAACATGAGACACATAAAACACTGCACTGCTTCTGGGCCTTCCCAGACTGACTGTTCTTCAAACCTGCTGCAAATGCGGTCACCAGGGCAGAGCCTGACCTGTCACGTGGAAAACGTGGCACATAAGGCCATGACACGTGAGTATGGATCAGGGAGGAGTTCTCATCCTGAAAGAGAAAAGGCTCCAGAACCCCAAATAAAGAGAGCTGCCTACTGCGAGTGAAGTCCAGAGAGGACAGAAGAAAACCAGAAGAGGCAAACCCATGACAGCACAATGCACACCATTGCAAGGGCACAGGAGAGCGCTGACCACAGCTTCTGTCCTCCCTCTGCCTTTCCCAGTGGGCATGGTCTGTGTCTAGAGAAATGTGGCAAGTATGATTAAAGTTGAACCTCCGGCGCAGTGGCTCACTTGGTTAATCCTCCGCCTGTGGCACCAGCACCCCAGGTTCTAGTCCTGGTCGGGGCGCTGGATTCTGTCCCGGTTGCTCCTCTTCCTGTCCAGCTCTCTGCTGTGGCCTGGGAGCGCAGTGGAGGATGGCCCAAGTCCTTGCGACCTGCACCTGCATGGGAGACCAGGAGGAAGCACCTGGCTCCTGGCTTCAGATCAGCGCGGTGCGCTGGCTGTAGCGGCCATTTGTGGGGTAAACCAACAGAAGGAAGACCTTTCTCTGTCTCTCTCTCTCACTGTCTAACTCTGCCTGTCAAAAAAAAGTTACCTCACAGTAATCTTTTAACCCTGACATTAGACACTACTTGTTTTCTTGAATATCATGTTACTGGGTTCATAACAGCTAAACCCACACGACTTAATCAGCCCGTATCAGTGGGTCTGTGTATTAATTCCAAGCACATGCTGTTGTAGCCGACGTGAAATGGACACGTTTAGGCACTAATGTCCATGTGGACTCTCCAGTCCTACTCTTCTTACACTGAGTGAAGTTGCTGATGTTCCACTGTTTCTGATCTACACAATGCGGTTTTGTCAGACCCAGTCTGATACTTGACCCTTTTGTGGCATTTAATCCACATCCACTCGCTCCTTGTTCTAACTCTTTATCCACTTTCTCTCATGCTTCCACCTCCCTAACCCTGCCCTCTTTCCTGTTTGGCCCGTAGCCCCATCCCTGGGCTCAGCTCAGCACTGTAGATGGTGCCCATTAGGCCACAGATCCCATTGTCAACCCTGTGGCCACTCCAACCACGAGCTAGCCAGAGGACCCACGCATCTCACCATGACCCAAACCCATTCCAGTTCCGCCATGATGGGCTCAGTGATGCCAGGCAAGGTCTTAGCTGTAGTAAAGCACAAGATCCTATTGTTGAGATTATTATCAGAATTAAATGAGAGAACTGTATTTTATTTATCCTAGTAACACTACACACCAAGCACACACAATCATATACATACACACAGCACCAACACAATATCACACACACCTACCACATAATACACAGCACACACAGTACACCATGCATACCACACAGTACATATATACCACACACATACACACACCACATACCACACACATATAGTACACAACCAAACACCTATACACGTACAGTACACACCACACACTACCCACACACACCACGTACCCACTTCAGTGACTCTCAAGTGCATGTGTACTGCGGTGAAGTGTGGTTTTCCTGGCAGTAATGCTCCTTTTTTGGCGGAGTAAAAAGCACGAATGCAGGGATGGGTGTTTGGCCCAGTGGTTAAGAAGCCACTTGGGACTTCTGCATCCCCTGTCCAAGTGCCCAGGTTCATGTCCTGGTTCCCCTTCCGACTCCAGCTTCCTGTAAATGGGCACCCTAGGTAGCAGTGATGAGGGCTTAGCTGGGGCCCTGCCACCTGTTTGAGAGACCTGGAGTGAGTTCCCAGCTCCTGGCTTTAGCCCGTTCAGGCACCGGGGAGTGAAACATTGAATGGAAGATGTCCATCTTTTTCTGTTTGCTTACCACACAAATACATTTTGAAAAATAAAAGTGAGGGGTGTTTACGATGGGGCCTGGCACAGCCCAAGTGCCTAGTACTGTACCGAGGTGGGCACTGTTCCAGGAAGGGGTCCACACCTGCTCAGCCCAGGTCTCTGTTCCAGTGTCGCTGCTCTTGAAATCCATGCTGCGCTCCTGCCCCTCGGTGCTCCCACAGTGCCGTCCCTTCTCATTGTCTCCAGTCATCCTCTGCCATCTCCTCAGTGTTCTTTCTAAACTGTGTGAGTGTGGTCTGAAGTCATGGACTATCTTCAAGATAAGTCAGGAACCTTTCCAAGATCCAGCCTGGGTCAGCTCCCAGCAGGCACTCCTCAGGTGGCCTGTGACATCCTTCTTTGGGGAGGCACGAGTGCCCACCTCAGGAGCCCTGCTCTGTCCCTCCCACAGTGGCTGTGTGGTCCCCAGAGCAGCTGAGTGCTCACCCTGGAGCCAGCACCTCCCCGTGGGTTTGCTCTGCGCTTGTCCACAGTCATGCAAAGTGCAAACCCTGCAGTCCCCGAAGCTGCCGGGCCCTGACATATGCCCTAACCATCTTGGTCTTTCAGGAAAAACTTGTGCTCTGTTCTGGAGTCTACACCGGGAAAAGAGCACCAAAAGAAAACAAAATCATCCCAGAGGGTTTCTCAAAGGCTGAGCCGTGGTGTTGTGCATACAGGCAGCATGGAGGCTGGGCAGGGCTCAAGATGGACACCTCTGGAAACGCAGGTACTCCATGCATAAAGGCGCCTGGGGCTCTGTCCTGAATCTATGGCTATTTCAAATTCCCACTGTACTTACTCAAACGCATCCAGTACCGCATTGCCTGCCTTTAGTGTGAGGGAACCTCCTTCCATTGTTCACAGGCCAGTGCCAAATGGCCACATCCTAATAGTAAAAGACACAGGACAATGACTCAACTGGTGCATCCATCCACTATTCCCTTACAAACTTAAAAGCTAAAGCTAAACTCAGTTGATGGATGATAGGTTGTGAGGGAAAGATTTGGTGAAAACAATAATTTGGCACAACACTAGCTGTCCCACTGGCTGGATTGTGTCCATCCTGAATTAGCTGTCCCACACAGAATGGCCAGGGTGGCCAAAGGGTTTGCCGGATTCTGTAAACTCTAGACTCACCCTCCTCATCTTACCCACATTGCTGGCAAAACCAAAATTCTGAGTGAGGAGAAGTGACATTAAATTTTACCATGAATTATCATGCTTGTAAATGTCCAATAAATCAAATTAAGCAGGGTTGAAAATCTTCCGTCACCCTCATTCCTCTGTATTTACAGCTCCATGGCCAGCAGCATTTCCAGATAGCTTTCCTTGAAATACCACCCATCACAGGGGAAAATGCACAGGAGTCAATGTTACCTGCATGTTCCTGGACCACAGACTCCTACCCGAGCCAGGCCAGGACCTCCCCCAACTGGCACCAGTTCTGCTCTCCCCCGGGGCACTGGGGTTGGCAATGGCCCCCACTGAGCTTCCTTCTATGCTTACTGGGACCTCCTAGGCTTCCCAATTCTCTGCTTGAACAATTCTTACAGAATCCTGAGGTGGGGTGGGGACAAGCACCTTTGCAAAGATGTGTAGCTAGTAAGCAGTGGTTACTAATTCATTAAGAAAATCTAATTTATCTTGGAATTTACATTAAATACTTGAACATTCCACTTCAGATCTTAATTGTAATAAAATATTTGCTCATTTAAAAAAAGGCAGAACTTTCTAGAAGTAACCTCTTAGCAGCTTGGGTGGGAACTGTAATGTCTATTCATTATGTGTATCTCTCTATATAGACACAGATATAGTTATTTAAAAATGGGATCACACTCTGAAGTTTCTGGAAATTCCTCATTTCGCTCAGTAACGTATCATGGAAAAGTCTCATGCCAGTGCAAAAAGGCCTCCCCTTCCCTTCATAGCAGTTATGGAGTCTCCTCACAGATGGGCCTTGGCTCTGCACTAACCCTTGTGTGACAGAAATTTAGGTTGTTTTATTTTCACTGTTCCAAAGGAAACTAGTCTGTTGATATCTCCTCATGTACATATTTCTGTAACTTCTATTCCTACAAACAAAACTGATAAATCAACAGGTACACATATTTAAATTTGCAACAGGTACTAGCAATCTGCATCTCTTTTTTACAGTGGTGTCAAAGTACTTGTTTCCTCACATTTGCCAACAAAAGAGTGGTACATGTGCTTTTAATTTTTGGGCCATCGTATTTTTTGCTCTATGAACTGTCTGTTCATATCTTTGATCAGTGTCCTACTGTCGCTCCCCCTCTTTGTGGAGGAACGACACTAAGCCCTGCCTAGGCTTCATATCCGAGTCACGGCACCATTATGTCGCTCCCCCTCTTCATGGAGGAACGACACAGGACCCTGTGCTGTTCTTTCGTCTGCTCGGCCCTCCCCGGGTTTGCTGCTGGTTCTTCCCGGGTTGGCTACCGACCCTTCCACCTCCGTGGAAGGGCAGTTCCCCCTGGCCGCATTCCCCACTTCCGCAGGGGAGCGGCACACCGCCGGCCGGCTCTTCTCGGGGACTGCACAGGTGTTCCTTCAGCTAGATGTTCCCCATAGATGTTCCTGGTGCATGCCATCTCTCTCCTCCTTTATAGTCCTCCTCCGCCAATCCCAACTCGGCTGCCCACACGCCGAGTACGCTGCTCTCCTCCAATCAGGAGCAAGTCCTACAGTTTATTAGTTGAACTGGAGGCAGCTGTGCGGAAGCTGTTTACTTCTCTCCCAGTGCCATATTGTGGGAGAGCAGATGCATAGAATAAGTCCTAATTCCAGTAACTCAGTCCAGTCCGGATTGCTCCCCACATCCTACGAAATGTTTCTTTCAGTTATTAAGAGGCGGTAGCTGTCTATGTGCTGAAAATATTTACCCTTATTATTGATGTGACAGGTCTTCTGTACCATGTTGTTACTTACTATTTTACTAACACTTATTTTTAGGTTGTAAACCAGTACTTTCCTCTGTGGCAAGTGGTTCTTAAAATTTTTTTAAATTTAATTTATTTGAAAGGAGGGTGGAGGGAGACAGAGAGAAAGAGATCCCCAAATGCCTACAACAGCCAGGACTGGGCCAGGCCAGGGCTCAATTTAGATCTCCTAAGTGGGTGTCAAGGACCCAAGTATTTGAGCCATTACCTGCTGCCACCCAGGGTACACACTGGCAGGAAGCTGGAATGGAGAAGTGGAGCCAGGATTAAAACCCAGGGACTCCAAGATGGGATGTGGGCATCCCGGCAGCCGCTTAACTGCTCTGCCAAAAGCCCATCCAGGCAGCTGGTTCTTATGTCCTACATGGGAGAGCTCCTGCAAGATTTAAGCCTATGAATGTATTCTCCTAGTGTTTGTAGTTTTCTTGATTAGCTTTCTGTCTAATAAATATGGAGTTTTTATGTTATATAAATTAGAGATCAAATTTTATTTTTTCCAGGTTTATTGCAAGTTCAATAGCCTTTAATATTCTTCACATAGCTTGCTCTCCAAGGGTTACAGCTGCACCCTCCACCCCCCACCCTTGACCTGGCCCAGCAGTGCCTCCATTCTTTCTTGATGGCCCCATGCCCAGGAAGCCCCATTCAGCTCCTTGGAAAGCCAGAACAGCGCCTTCAACAATCCTCCCTGCTGGGCAAGGGTCTGTGTCTGGGCCCATGCTCCATGGGGGTCTCAGTGTTCAGTTCCTCTGAATTTTTGAGAGGCTGCCTCCAGTTATGTGTTCCTGGCACGCTTTGGGGCATCATTTCATTTTAGTTTGTCTGTCTTAGAAGCAGAATAGTGTAATTTTGCTTTTAAACCTGGTCTTGGTTAGGCCCTACCCCTAACCCTGTTTGTCCATTTGTGTTTCCGGACATGAGAAGAGTGCTTGCTCTCCTCTCTGGCTCCTCATTTGTGTTTCCTTACTTTTCCCTTTTTCATAGTGTTGGGTTTTTTCTTAGCAAATGTCAAGAAAATGCTTAGAGTGTATGCTTCAAACCCATCCTTCATTTATTTACTTTGACTCTCTCTCCCCACTTTATTGCTTTATTAACAGGAAACAGATAAAGCCCTAGAGCAAGGAGGGTGGGATAAGTTAAATAAAGAAATGGAAAACGGAAGCCATAGAAAAAAGGGTCTCTAGCAGCTGCAGCTCCAGCCCGAGGCTATCTGGACAGGGCCTGCTCTGCCAGCTGGCTATAGGCCTTGCTCTGCACAGGCCTGCAGGGTGCATAGAAGACTCACTGTGCCCCCCTGCCGGGCGAGGTCCTCAGCTGCCCAGCACTTTCTCCCTTTCTGAAAAGGCAGAAATGGAAACCATCAAGAACCAAGGGACAGCTGCCAAATTGCTGTCCCTGCACTGCAGTTGGGGCCACGTCTGAGTCTCAAAACCTGGTGACAGCCTTGTCACAGCCTGTGGTGTTGTGCTTTAGGTTCTTTGGCTCTTCCTGTCTGTGAGGGAGGAGGAGGGGGCGGGCCCAGGCCCTGGGACACCTAGGCGACAAATCCCCTTCGCTGGGAGCCAGGCCGGGGTGGATGCCTTGCCTGAAGTGCCTCCCAGCGTCCACACCGAGGTAGCAGATAGCAGTACACATTTCAGGGTAGGTTTCTTCCCTTTAGAAAGAAAACCAGAACCAGGTGATTTCGGATATGTGGGCTTAGGAAAGGAAATAACTCAGCTTTCTAGGACCCAAATCCCCTGAGAATCCTGAGAAACTCTCAGTGCCAAGCTTGCTCCACCCTCGGATCCGATGCCCACCGCCCATTCCTGGGACCTTTGAGGTCCTGCACAGCTGCAATTCACATTCCATGGACTTGGCAGAAAAACTCGCCCTGTCCTGAGTTCCAATGGAGCCCTCAGTAGCCTGGAATTATGCATCATTCTTGACAAGAGCCCAACCCAGTGACCCACCACTTCCTAGAGAAAGAAAACAAAAATGAGACAGAGGAGCTACAGTAAATCCTTAAGTGATCAGCTTCTGCTGAATTGTGCAATAGTGGGAGCACAGGGCAGGCCTGCTCCAGGTCTCCCAGGCTTCTCCACTGCTTGGAACTAAACCCAGGGCCTTGTTTTCTAGCTGTAGATGGAGTGGGGACCATCTCTTAGGACTCATGTTGGGACCAAATGAGTTAACTTGGAACTAAACCCAGGGCCTTGTTTTCTAGCTGTAGATGGAGTGGGGACCATCTCCTAGGACTCATGTTGGGACCAAATGAGTTACCTTGGAACTAAACCCAGGGCCTTGCTTTCTAGTTGTAGATGGAGTGGGGACCATCTCCTAGGACTCATGTTGGGACCAAATGAGTTAACCATGACAAGAGATTGTGTTGGCCCTGACTTGGCAAACAATAAATTTGAGTTATTCCTTCTCCTTATGCCTCTGCCACATGGAATTAGAGTCTTGGAGTTTGAGAGACATCTTGGTCCACTGTGGGGAGCAATCCGGACTAGACTAAGTTACTCGAATTAAGACTTATTCTATGCATCTGCTCTCCCACAATATGGCGCTGGGAGAGAAGTAAACAGCTTCTGCACAGCTGCCTCCAGTTCAACTAATAAACT